TCCAGGCCAATTTAGGTAGGAGATAAGATCAAGAGACCTGGTCCTTTAATGAGTTGTTAGGCCTAGAGGAACACATACCATGTGTGCCCCCCCAGACAGGGGTTCTAGGATTTTATAATAAGGTCCATCCAATCCCAGGTTTATGCAGCCCTGGTTCTGCCCCATTCTGCCCCCTGACACACCCCTTCACGAACTGGGTTTGGTGTCTTTGGGACCCCTTCTTCCTCATCTTCATCTTCTTCACAGCACACACAATCCTGGGAGTTCCTAAAGAGTTCTGCCTAGAAGGACACTGTGTCTGGGTGATATCTTCTGGTCAAGGCCTTAAGGTGGTTTTCTACAATTCTCCCTTGAAAAGAAGACTAAAAATGGAGTATAGAAAGATTCATATGGAATGGGGTAGTAGGGTTGGGTATGTGTAACTACTCTGTTAAGGGTAAGGGATATAATAGAGCTACATTTAAATAAATTCACTACACAACTAGTTCTAAAATCTACAAAACTTTAAAAACCCAAAAAGATCTGAGATATCAGTGTGAATTGACTCTGGTGTGAGTGTTGTTGTTGTAAATCTATAATTCAGTTTCTGTTCAATTATAGTAAGTGCTATTCAATCCCTTGATAACTGTTAAGCTGGTGAATGATTAATGCTACTAATCTCTTTTGCCCCCTTATCTTTGGATCCAAACCCTTTGCATCCTGACCCTGTTACATCTCAAGGCTCTGTGTAAATCATTCTCTTTCAAAAAAAAAAAAAGCTATTTTTTGGGAGCTGCTTTTGAAATTTTCCTCCTCAGCTAAACTACAAAACAACTCCAATTGGTTGTTGAAGACATTACACATGAAGACAACAAAAAAAAAAGAAAAATAATTTGTTTGTCTGTATTTCAATGAGCCCCACGGTGTGTTTAGAGACGAGTCCATCATCCTGAGGTACTGAGAGAAGATTGAAGAAGCTGCTCCAGAAGTCAGAAGCCAAACCCCAGATCCTGATGTGTCCACACATCTCTGCCTGGGTGTGGGTGTGAACTGACTGTGGTGTGAGTGTTGCTATTGGGAATCTATAATTCAGTCCCTGTTCAATTGTAGTAAATGCTACTGAATCCCTGTGAAAAGGGAATGTTGAAAATGTTGAAAGTTGGTCAATGATGAAGTGCTACTAATCTCTTTTGCCCCCTTTACTTTGTGTCCAAATCCTTTGGACCCTGACCCTTTTGCATCCCAAGGCTCTGTAGAAATCATTCCCTGTCATAGAAAAAATACATTTCTGTGAGGTGCACTTTAAAATCTTTCTCCATACCTAAACTACAAAATAACTCCAATTAGTTGTTGAAGAATTGAAAACATGAAGACAATTAAAAGAAGGGAAATAATTTGTTTTTCTCTATTTTAATGAGCCCCACAGTGTGTTCAGAGACAAGTCCATCATCCTGAGGTACTGAGAGAAGATTGAAGAAGCTGCTCAAGAAGTCAGAAGCCAAACTCCAGTGCCTTGAAGCATTGCTGGGCCCCACTGAGGGCAGGCACTGCCAAAGCCTCCCCCGGGGACTCCTGAGAGCAGATCCTTGCAGGCCAGGAGTGCAGGCAGACAAAGGAAAGTGTCTTGTGGTGGCCTGAGGGGCAGAGGCAGCTGCCAGAGCCAAGGGCACAAAGGCCTGGGTGCCTTTGGGCCTTGCAGCCCTGCCAGAGCCCTTGGCCATCTGTGCTGCAGGCTGTGCTCCCCTGGCCCTGCT